CCCCACCCCACCCCATCCCACCCCACCCCACCCCACCCCCTAGGAGTGACTGCTGACTGGGTTGTCCCATGGATTGGGATTGTTTTGGATTTAAATAATTGGGTGATGTTCCAGAATTCTCTGGAGATCAGCATTCGCCCCATCACACTGTACAATGAGAACACTTTACCCTGGTCTGGCAAAGGTCACACCCACACACACACACACACACACACACACCCGTCTCAGACACTCCCCTCTCTCGCAGCCACACCCACACACATCCACACACCCACACACACACACACACCCGTCTCACACACTCCCCTCTCTCACACCCACACCCACACACATCCACACACCCACACACACACCCCTCTCTCAGACCCACTCACACAGACATCCAACACAACAACACCCCCTCACTCTCTCTCAAACACACACACATACACATGCGCGCGCACACACACACACACACACAGACACGTCCATACATACACACACACAGACACATACACACATGCACACACACAGCCACATACACACATGCACACACACAGACACAAACACACATGCACACACGCACAGACACAAACACACATACACACATGTACACAGACACATACACACATGCACACACACACAGACACATACACGCATATGCACATCTTGTTGACACTCAGTTGAACACAACAATGTAATGTGCATCCTCCTGGGAGAGCTACTCTCTCTGAGTTTCCTGTCCTTGCAAACACCACCTCCCTCGCGCCTAGCTGAAGGAAACCCTAAGCTGTTTGAAGCCATTTGTGCTGAACCTCACTACCTAACTCGATGATGTCCCAACCACTGCCTGACTGCCACCTCGGTCATCCACGTGGAACAGCTCCCCTGTGGGAGATCTAGCAGGTGGGTCCTTGCTAAATAAGTTCAGCACAAGCCAGGGTCTCTGTGCAATAACCATCTGTGACTGGGGCCTCTGTACAAAGCCCTAATACACTTGTGGAGTGACACAGCCATTGCTGCACATAGACCTATCACCTTAAACTCAGCAGAGGAGGAGGCTGTTTCCCACTTCTTCCCATTTGCTGAATAAATTAATGGTCTGGATTCAGAAACTCAAGCAAACTGGTCAAGTTTTGAGTTGATATGAAACTAGAAGGAGTTAGACAATCCTGTGAAGGGAAAACAAGTTAAGAAGAAAATGCATGTGGTCATAAAACTAGATGTAACAGCGCCACATGTGGAATACTGATTTTGGGAAGAGAAACTGGGCATTGGATGAATAATAAAAAGAGTCTTCAGAGTTATGGTAAACTAACTGTGTCCAAGAACAGAACGGAGCAATCAATCAAACCCAACACAATGTCAAACCGTAGGCAAACAGTCAACTTGGTGCTGCCAACATTCCCCCATTGTCCTGAAGTCTCTAGGGCAACGCTGGAGGAAAATGCTAACAGTGTTTAAAAAGTCTGTTTCATTTACTTGTAGAATTCTGTTAATTAATTAATGAAATGCTGAAGGTGGGGTCTATTGGCCGCAGCCCTGAATCTAATCTATTTGAAAGTATGATGTATTTTCCGGTATATGTCTTTATTTCACCAGGAGCTTGGTGTATATGGGATAAAGGGTCTGTTTTAGCACCAGTTAAAAGGTATGGTGGATAGCTCAATAAAAACCGAAAGAACTGCAGATGCAGTAAATCAGGAACAAAAACAGAAGTTGCTGGAAAAGCTCAGCAGGTCTGGCAGCATCTGTGAAGGATAAAACAGAGTTAACATTTCAGGCCTGGTGACCCTTCCTCAGAACTCAAAGTGATGGTGGATAGCTCAGTGTCTTTGCATTCCCCTTGTTATGGACCAGACCAAACCCCTGAAGGAGATGGCCTAGACTCTAACATTTTATTTTATTTAAAGGCAAATATAAAGCACTCTGTTCCAGATCTGATTCGATTGGTAGATTACTAGGCTTTAAGCAAAACACACTTTATTCTATCAACGGAGTTAAAATGCAAACAAAAAAAGAATTGACATAACTTTAACTCTACTGAAATACTTAATAAAATATTATATTATTTAACTGCTAATCATCAAATGTTCAAATATAGCAGCATCCTATAAACACGCTCATGGCAAGGACAAATTTGGCAAAACAGATTTTCTTCACATGCTATCTCTGCTCCAGACCAGCGGAAAGAAATACCAAAAG